ACCCCTCGAGTCACACTTTCCCAATCACAAGTGTCATCGCTTATGAAGCAAGTACAGAAACTGATACAACAAGCAGCGCAGGTAAAAGAATCGTTGTCCATAAAACGTACAGAAGTATGGGCGTTGCACACATTTCCTCAGCGAGCCCTACAAAACCTTGAAAACGGCGGTAATACAAGGTCCGCAGTCAAAAATCGCGAGGAAATAGCTCAAGCAATTTCGGAACTTTCTGGTGCTAGTTATGAAACCATAACTAAAGAGATTCCAAAAATGGACCAATTGATAGACCAGCTTTTGCAATGGAAATGCTACAATTGGGAACAGATGATTGCTTAGCAAAATGAACTGTATGCGCAAGCGCGACATGATGATCACTGTCTGCGAGAGTTGGCGCCCATCCTCAATGTGGCTTCAACAGAAGTTGTAAGCGTTGTAACGAGCTACTTTGACAAGCAAGAAAGTGGCAATGACCCTAGTTTTGAACTGTGAATTACACCAACGAGAGTCAGCCTAGCGGAAACAAGCGACCTGAGAATAATAATAAGAAGTCCTTCTTTCAGCAACTAATGGAAGTAGACGGACCTACCGTGTGTCACTGCCGATTTTAGAACGGCCATGAGGCAGGTACGCGAAGGAGACTTCACTACGACTACAGAACTCACGCGTTTCAATTCGGTGGAAGCAGAACGAGGTCAGTTTTCCCACGTGTCAGAAAAACCAGGGAAATGATATGCAGACACCTCAACATGAAAATCTGCAAATGAGTAATAATGCAATTTTGCAGTTGCCGGGATGCAAAGAGAGGCCAATTACCGCAACACCAATGCAGAACAGAGAAGGTGTGTTTTGATCTCCGACTCAATTTTCAACAGAATTGGGTGTAGGTGCAACATTAGCGGCTATGGCTCTACCGGACGTGGTACCTTTCTCCCATCCTCAAGGAAAAGGGTTTAAAAACTTCGTAACTCTTCCATATGAAATATGGCAAATTAGGTTTATTAGATGACATGCTCATTCACCTTATGTGCTCAAAATTGCAGGGGTACCCAAAAGCAGTAATGGAAACCTTACCCCGAAATTGCCGAGAGGGAAGTTACATTATCTTTCTGGAAACGATGAGAGCTAATTTTAAAGAATATGACTTCTGCGCAGCGCACAGAGGCATACATAAAATTGAAGCAGCTTTGAAAATGCTCTTCAGTAGCAGACTACTGTGTGGAATTGGAGGAGCTAACTCGCAGAGTCTATCCAGACGCAAGCGATAAAGAGCTGTCTACGATTCGAGCAGTAGAACTCATAACACAACTCACAGAATGGAAAGAATACACACAACTCTCCAGCGCATTAGAGCAGTCGAAATAGGAAGAAGCTTACGAAAGGCTCAAAAACATGGCACAATGCATCGAAAGAAGCCGGAAAGTGGCCAATGCGGTGCGATTCGCTGCCAGATCAAGTTATGACAGTCGTCAAGACGAAGTACGGGATCGTTCTAAGACTGTGTCTCCATCAAGCGCCACTAAAACTGAGAAGCCAGGACAGCTCGATGGAAATAGAGAAATAAAAGCTTGCTCTTTTTGCAAGAAAGAAGGGCATTACAGAAGAGATTGCTGGAAAGCTCGCGGGGATCGAAACACACAATCTCAAAAGGTACAATCCGTACAATCCCCGCCACCTAGCACTGCTAGTCTTCCAAATCCAAATAGCGTCCCTAAGAAGCAAAGGAAGGAGAGCAGCGAAACGTTCACCACAATCGTTGGAATTGCAATAAAATCAAGGCGAATTCAAAGCTGACAGTGAATTGTTCAGCAAACATACCATCGCCACAGTGAATCTCCTGGGCATGTCAAAGCTAGCGCTACTGGACAATGGATCTCAAATTAGTATTATGCCACTCAGGGTACTAAATGAGGCGCAAGAAGCAGGAGTTTGACATAGACGGAGATGTGGAAGAAATACCAATGCCCAAGCATAGGACAATCTATGACGCTCTGGGAACAAAATGAGCTTTAAAGTCGCAATACGCCTTACAGTAAAGACTAGAAACACACAGCCCCGAAGGGTGGCAATGTTGGTCAGAAAGTCACATGACGATATGATAGTCTCCAGAACCAATGCACTAGGGACATTCAACTTACTGCTGAAGGAAGACCACAATTCAGTTGCATCGACGAAGTCCCAACAAGGGCGAGATAGACCATTAAGACGAAGCCGTTTGAATAAAAACAGGACGCTACAAAAGGGAAACTTTCGGATTTATCTATCTACGGTAGTTCAGCGAGTATAAATTCGGCTAGGAGAAACAAAAGCCGTGGCTGTTTCCATGCCAAAGACTGGAACAGATCAGATGTTATGGTCCCATTGCGATGTTATCCCTGATACCATATGTTGCAGCAGCAAACCAGTAATCGAATACCGGTGACCAACACATTGTATCAACCTCAAATCTTCCGTGCAGGAGAAGAAGTAGGGAGCTGGGACACAAGTTCCATCGTGGAACGACCACCGGCGGAACATAGTAACATGTTGGAACGCACTTGTCGCAGTATTCCCGAACGGGAACAAGAACTTTGGCAGTTACTCTGCCAAAGAAAACAGAATACGGAAAATGACAAGCTTCTCAGAGACCTAATAGAACAATTCAGCGATGTTTTCGCAGTCTCGGATCAAGAATTATCTGAACTATGTAAGATATTAGCAGACCTGCCGGAGCGCAACATTATCAAGCGCAGTGAATCCAACTGGGCCTCACCCATCGTCCTTGTTCAAAGAAGGATGGATCATTAAGGCTATGTATGGATTACAGAAAGCTTAATCAGGTCACGAGAGTGCGCAACTACCCGTTACCTACCGTAGATACTATTTTACAAGACCTCTGAGGCAAACGATACTTTTCCACGCTCGATCTCGCCTCCGGATACTGGTAAAACTCACCAAGAGGCTAAAGAAAAAAGCGCTTTTATCACAACGGAGAGACTCTTCCAATTCAAAGTGCTTCCTTTTGGTCTAGCCTCATCACCTGCAGTCTTCCAACGGCTAATGCATCAAGTTCTGGCCATCTATTGAAGAAGAGGTCTTCTGTTATCTTGACGACATTATGGCGGCAAACAATACTTACGAAAAGCATCTCCAAGTATTGAGAGAGGTTCTGTGCGCATTACGGGAGGCGCATCTCAAACTGAACCCTCGGAAATGTAACTAGTCGAGAAGGCTGTAACGTTTCTTGGCCACCTCATCGATCAAGATGGACTTCACAGGGATCCTCAAGAGGTGGCAGTCATCATAAAACATCCGGAGGCTCAAACTAGATCTGATCTGAGCACCTTCCTTGGGATGTGTTCTTACTATCGAAAATTTGTGCTGAGATTTTCCAAAATTCCTGTACCACTGCACGAAATGACGTCCGAAAAGCAGTCCTATACCTGGACACAATCAAGACGAGAGGCATTTTCAAGTTAAAGGAAATTATCAAACAAGCTCCCGTTCTTGCACAGCCAGATATTGACGCAGCAAGAGACGGCAAAAGACCATTCAAGATCCACACGGATGCCAGCTACTCTGGACCAGGTGCTGGTACTTAGTCAAGAGAGTGATGATGGATGGATTCTTGCATCCGATATTTTTCGCGTCGAAAAGCCTATCAAAGAGTGAGAAAAAATTACCACATAACAGACCTCGAAGCTTTATCTGTGTATTTGCCCTAAGAAAATTTCACATGTTCATCTATGGGCTGAGAACGGAAGATCTTTACAGACCACCAGCCATTGCTGGCACTCTTTACGAGGACTAATGTCTCATCTCGGATTCTCCGATGGGCATTAGAAATTCAGAAAGTACGAACATCAAAATAGTGTATCTCAAAGGAGCAGCTAATAAAGTAGCCGATGCCCTGAGTCGCGGTCCAGTGGACGATAACCCTCTCATAGCATATGCAGAAGCATTGCCCAATGCAAATATCGTCGCTGCCATGACAGGAAGAGCCTCGTTGGATGCAAAAATTGCGCCAAGACAAAATTTACGCAGGGGTCATTGAAAATCTGTAACACAACAAACACACCTTGTATTTCCGATTTTGATTTGGGAAAGTGTAACCTGCCCAAATCAAAATCGGAAATACAAGGTAGCGGACTTTGCACGCATGCGTTTAAGAAAGTGGTTCCCCAAGCTCACAGAAAGAGCGTGTTCCTAGATGCGTATGCCTCATTATTAGCAGGACATTTTGGGCCGCAGAAAGTATTGAAAACTTTGAAGAAACGCGTATTCTGGGAGTCTAATGAAAAGGGATGTTCTCCTCTGGTCAGAGGAATGCAAGAAATGTGCTTTGTTCAATCAAAGACCTGGAATTACCCCTCCACTCAAACCAATTGTAACTACAAAACCACTTCGAAATGGTAGGGATTGACATACTTGAAATGGGTCAGACAACTAGCGGTAATCGCTACATTTTAAGCGTCATAGACCACTTCACCAAGTACGGAGGAGCGTACCCATTGCCATCAAAAGCAGCTGAAATTGTGGCGCGCACACTGTTCGAGCGCTGGATGGCAGATGGCTGCCGTATCCCAGAATGCATATTGTCAGATCAAGGCGGCGAATTCGACAATAAATTAATGGTCGAACTCACACAAGTGATGGGAATTCCGGCAGACACTCACTAAAACTTACAATCCACGCGAGAACGGACTGACCGAAAGGTTCAATAAGAGTACTATCGCAATGCTAAGAAAAAAATCTCCCTATGGAGTGGGACAAATTCCTCCAATTGTATGATCGCATACAACTCCACTGCCCATGAAGCTACTGGTGAATCATCATTCTTTTTATTACATGGGTTTGACTGCAAGGTACCGTGGAATTCAGTGCCAGAAAGAGGCGTAAGTGAATACATGGTAGACATGGACTCCTACATAAATGAATTAGTGACAGGCTTAAAGTAGTTCGAGACTTTGCACGATCCCAAAATCAAAAGGCTCGTGAGCGCATGAAAAAGTACTACGACGTCTCGGAACGACCTTTCGCCGTAGGGGAGAGAGTGTACATGCGCGTTCCCATAAAAAGGCTGCGTCAACTCATCCAAAGCTCGCAAATGAATGGAACGGACCCATTCAGAATAATAGAAGTCAGCGATAACAGTGCCCTCATCGCCTCTTTAGCTGGTAACGTTGAGCCGCTTGAAATACAGTTTGACCTTTTCAAGAGATTGCCATTAGGACTTGATGATGAACCGGTACAAACTGTTAAACAGCGAACAAAAAGAGGGTGACGAAGAAACATAACAGAATTCATTGTAAACCGACTTGTTTCAGAGTCGACGTCGGGCCTCCGCAGGAAGATCCGCTGCATCTCTTCCATCCGTGTACGTGCAACATCTTTCGAACTAAGGCTCAGACCGCTCTGCCAAGTTTGCGCTCAGACCTTGCAAGATCCAAGCCGGTCAACAATATGTTCGAACTGGCGAATGTCGCGTCTATAGTGCTCGATCCATTCTGGGGGATCGACGCAAGGAGGAAGAGCTTCTCAACAAGGACTCAAAACACTTGACAGTCTTGGGGCTAGTTCATGCGATCGCCGCTCATCGTTCAAGTTGTTACACCTTCAGCACCGCGTTGAGAAATGCTCATGGGAAACGCATCATTCATCCTTCGCTGTTTCCCTTTTTTCCCGGAAACCGACTCGTACTACGCACAACCCGAATCCCACCATTGTCGCTCTGCCATTGTCGTTTATTCGGGCCGAGAAGGTGCTCGAGGAAAACGACAAGGTAAGTATAACGGTCTATTCTACGCTCGATGGACTAGCAGTGCAGCTCAACTCCTGTTCGATCTCTGCCGCCGTAGTGCTGGTTTGGCCTAATGTTATACCGTCCACTGTTTACCTCGACCATGTGATGCACGCGTTGAAGCGTCATTTACAATGAGGAACCATGGGCATGTACCCGCCGCCGTACGAAGAGAAACGTAGCGAAATGTGGCACGCAGTGAAGAAAGTCTGCGCCGAAGTGCTGGAAGTACTTACAGGACCAGCCCGAGGATTCGATGCACGTATCGTTGATTGACGCACCGGCTGCAGAACAGATGCGTCTAACTAACTCAGTTATTGCGCCAGGCGGAGGTGACGAAGGAAAGAATCCTTCGCATGGGAACCCGTTACCTCATCATGGATTCCTGGCACGAGTACATGACGGAATGGGGAGACGTTTCTGGCTTCCAGCGACAAGACTGGCTCGAACTTAAGCGCGACTACGCTTTTGGACCGAGAGCAATCGTCGAGTTAATCCAAAACCAGTGTGACATCCTGAACATCGAAATTGAGGATATGAAGGCGATGTTGCTGCGTCAAGAGAAGGAGCTGACTGAGCCGAATCGAGTTTCTGAATGCAGAGAATCCTGAAAAGGGAAATCGAGTCATTGCAAGTGCATCTCAGCCAGCCGTTCGGATGTTGACGACTTTACAAAGAAAGTCGAGTCTCAGAGTTTGGAGATTGCTTCGATCAAGTCTAACATCAGGACCGTGGAAGTATTTAGTTGCAACGCCGACCCCTATCGTAGGAGTGTGGTGGGGATAATCAGGATGTGGAGCCTGATTTACGCGAAGTTGAAGAAGACCATGAAAATATGGAACTAGATGAAGAAGATGACGACGAAAACCACTGGAAAAGGATGGTGGGCGAAGTCACGGATGTGAAAAGGAGCGGAGGAAGCTGGTACGAGGACGAAGAACCGGCACCCAAAAGCCGAAGAGTCGAGTATTCTGAACCAATAGTCACTGGTCGTATTCGAGTCGTGCGGTAGTCACTGGTCGTATTCGAGTAGTGCGGGAAAAAATGAGAAGAATGAATTCAGATTTTGCACGTTTTCCCTTACCGAGACAGACACGACCAGTCTCGGGGAATCCCTCGTGACAGGGACTGCGCGTTTTGTGGTGCAGTGGGCATTCACTTTTCTGATGCTTGCCCTCGAATTTCGGAATGGAAAGACGCGTTACGAGATCGTTCAAAAGAAATGGTGCCTCCACTGCCTCGAGAGTCCAGAGACAGATGCAGATATCGCCTCAATAAATGTTGGTTCTGTGTCAGACTCAGAGGCACGGTCTTTGAGGAGGATAATGGATTCTACCATAGCGCAGTTTGCAATGTTCCGGATTTGAAGTTCATCGCTCCGTTCACGCGTTGAGGACACCCAGAGAGAGTTGTGGCAGCTTATAATCAGGAAGCCAGATCCACACGGAGGAGGAGGAGACCATGTTGAGTCCGGAGTGACGACAACGTCGTCAAGAACTCGGCGTGGTAACCAGTGATGATCTACCGATCGCGCGCCAAGGAGTGGTTTATAGGATGAATGAAGAGCCATGAGGACTACATTCTACATTCTATAATACCTTCGACTTTATTCACTCTGCATTCTTTTTGAATATTTGGTGGTGGTACATTATTACCTTATGAACATTGTTTGTTCTTCAGAAGCGAGTTCCTAATAAATTGTGTGTTGCTTGCTTGGCCTATTGGTGGACTAAACGCGTGTCTTCGTGTGATATCTGTATTCTACTACTGATTTCTTCTTATATGAAGTATGTATCAAAAGTAAACACCATGTAATCGAACTTCAGGGAAAAAAATTCACATTGAAAAAAAAATTCTGCCGTGAAACCTTTACCATTCAACTCCTTGTAGTAGATAAGCTGTTGTGGAATTTTTGGCAAGTGATTTTATTGTTCTATTTTAGTGAATTATATAGTTACCTTTTTTATAGGGACTTTTTCACCTGTAACAAAAGTATATTCAAATAAATTCCGAGGTCAGTCAAGTTTTTGC